GAAAGGGAAGGGAAGGGAAGGAAAGGAAGGAAGGGGAAGGGGAAGGAAAGGAAAGGAAGGAAGAAGGGAAGGAAGGAAGGGAAGGGGAAAGGGAAGGGAAAGGGAGGGGAAGGAAGGGGAAAGGAAGGGAGGGGAAGGGAAGGAAAGGAAAGGAAAGGAAAGGAAAGGAAAGGAAAGGAAAGGAAAGGAAGGGAACGGAAGGGAAGGGAAGGGAAAGGAAAGGAAGGGAAGGGAGGGGAAGGGAAGGGAAGGGAAGGGAAAGGAAGGGAAGGGAGGGGAAGGGAGGGGAAAGAAAGGGAAGGGAAGGGAAGGGAAGGGAAGGGAAGGGAAGGGAAGGAAAGGAAAGGAAAGGAAAGGAAAGGAAAAAGACTCAGTCAGTTTTAGATTTTCATATTGACTTCTATACACCTGTTTTCTTGCCAAAATTGATAATAGCACTAAAACTACTTTTTTTAAAATATCGGAACAAAGCTAACAGCTCTCCCTGCAGTTGTAGAGTGGTCCTCCCTATTCTTCCTTTTTCTCTCTCTCTTTAGTCTGCCTGTTCACTCTCTGATAAATTACTATTCTTGTGCTGCTCTGTAAGCTTCTATTGTACTTCCAGGAAATGGACCACCCTTGTGTTTCCTAGCAAATTGTGAAAGGCATCAAGAAGTATTTACACATTGGCCATTAGGATTCTACTACTTAGTCTTTAAACACTTTTCTTGTGCTTCCGTTTTCCTGATATAAGCTAGACCTGAACTGAGTTATTTTCAATAAGGCCTATAGTAATCCCAAAATTGTACTAGAACCTGAAAGAATGTTGTAAGTTGTCCAGAGTTAATGTAGTAAGATGGATGGCCAATACATTTATTAAATAAATAAATAAAATAAAAACTCTGAAATACACACAATGGAGGAACAGTTTCCTAAAGGGGAAAACAACCCAAGAAGTGTGGGAAACTCTGAAAAATGCGATCAGAAAAGTCCAGACAAGCACAATACCACTGAAAAATAAAAACAAGAAATTCAAGAAGAAACCAACATGGTTGCACAAAGATCTCTCTGAAAAACTGAAAGAAAAAAGGACAAATACAAAAAAATGGAAAGAGGAGCACATAACTAAGGCTGATTATCAGCAGACAGCCAGAACATGCAAAGATGAAGTCAGGAAAGCAAAGGCTCAGAACGAATAAAGACTTGCAACAGAAATCAAGGATAATAAAAAAAAAAGTTTCTTCCAACATATAAACAACTAGAAAAGAAGATGGCAAGGAAATAACAGGTAACAGGGAGAAAGCAGAGTTGCTTAACTCATACTTTGCATC